TTTCTGTGGTGGTTTCCACTCTTGAGCCTCTTGTTCCAGTGAGCTGTATTTGCCTGTCTGTCTCCAATCTTGGGGGCAGCAGTTTGCCCTGTGTCCTCACCTTTCTTACAGATGCATGAAGAGTTGTTGATTTTTCAGCCTGTCCAGCTTTGTAGTTGCTATTAGGATAGAATGGCAACTTCCAAGCTCCTTACATGTAGAAGCGGAAACCAGAGGTCCTATCCCAAATAGTTTTATTATTTATTTATTTATTTATTTTTTTTTTGAGACGGAGTTTCGCTCTTGTTAACCCAGGCTGGAGTGCAATGGCACGATCTCGGCTCACCGCAACCTCCGCCTCCTGGGTTCAGGCAATTCTCCTGCCTCAGCCTCCTGAGTAGCTGGGATTACAGGCACGCGCCACCATGCCCAGCTAATTTTTTGTATTTTTAGTAGAGACGGGGTTTCACCATGTTGACCAGGCTGGTCTCGATCTCTTGACCTCGTGATCCACCCACCTCGGCCTCCCAAAGTGCTGGGATTACAGGCTTGAGCCACCGCGCCTGGCCCCCAAATAGTTTTAAATTGTATTAAGCATGCACAAAAGTACAGCAATGTACTGAATCCCTATGTATCTATCACCTAGGTTCAACTATTGTTATAATTTTGCTAATTTTGAGAAGCATTTTAAAAATTCATAGAGACCAGTGTTTACCTGTTAAAAAAACAGAGTTAAAATAGTCATTCAAATAATTTGGGAGATAGTTAAAATAGTTTAGTAGTCAAATAGTTAAAATTATAGTCAAATAGTTAAAATAATCTAACTATTTTTAAGTAAATTTAAATAAATGACCTAAATAATTCGGGCAAGAGCCATATATATATATATGAGGCAGGGTAGGAAGGAGAGAGAGAGTACAAATAGCATAAAACAAAAAACAGATAACGTTAATTATTTTGGTAGCTCTTTTGTGTAATATCACTTTACTCAAATACCCCCCAATACTCTATTATGTGAAGAGAAACCTGTTTTTTATTACATTTCCTTCTGAAACTCAGAGGGCAGAACAGTCCAATTCAATTCACCAAACTTGTGGAGCCTGTGGGGAGTCCCCTTGTGCTGCAGGAGACAGGAAAGGAGTTGCAAAGTTTAAGCACAGTTATTTGGAAGACTTTATTGGGAAAGTGGTGTTTGAGTGGCATCTATTAAGAGTAGACTTTATGTCTAAAAAAAGATGTGGAAGGGGTAGAATTTCATGTTGAGAGAACTTCATGTACATAGATGGGAGAGAAGAAGGTGCAGAGTGAGTTTGGGAGTATGGTTAGATAATAGTGACAGAAAGGTAATTTAATCTTAAAGGTGATGTCATGGTGCAGAGGTTAAAGGCATAGGTTCTGTTGGCAGACAGACCTGTCTGGTTACCTCCTGCCTCAGGTGGCAGTGCTGATTGCCAGCCCAAGAACCATTCCCAATGTGTTTTCCTTAGTGGTAGGGCTGCCTTCCTCTCTAAAAGCTGGAAGTAGCAGATACTCATTTACCAGCCTCCTTTGCAGCTAGGGGATAGCCATGTAATCCAAGTCTGGCTAAAGGGACCTTAAGGGAAATCCGAGAGGGAGTTCTAGAAATAGTTTTCTCTCTAATAAAAAAATAAAAAAATAAAAAAAAAAAAAAAGGCTCTAAAGCAAAACCTTTTTTATGCCTCTGAATATAACTGTGTAACAGTATGAGCACTGGAGCTATGGCAGCCATCTTGTAGCCATGAGGACAAGCTGATGCTGAAAGCCATGGTGCTGAGGCTGACAGAGGAGATAATATAGTGTTTAGTGCTTGATGACATCAATATGCCACTCTACATATGCCAGTCTTTGGAATGTCAGATTGTGTTAAATGATACATTTTTCTGATTATTTAGGCTGTTTTGATTTGCATAACACCTGGATTAATATCAGCCCAGAAAGTAGAAAAGAAAAACAATAATTATCCTACCTAAAGTATTTCTACTTTATAGCATTTAATTTTTTTAAATATTTAGAACATACAAGAATATATATATGTATACACACACACACACACGTGTGTGTATATATATATATATATGTGTGTGTGTATATATATATATATATATATATATATATATATATATATATTCCCCTTGAGATGGAGTCTCACTCTGTCGCCCAGGCTGGAGTGCAGTAGCACCATCTCAGCTCACTACAACCTCTGCCTCCTGGGTTCAAGTGATTCTCCTGCCTCAGCCTCCCGAGTAGCTGAGATTACAGGCATGTGCCACCATGCCCAGCTAATTTTTTTGTATTTTTAGTAGAGATAGGGTTTAACTGTATTAGACAGGATGGTCTTGATCTTCTTACCTTGTGATCTGCCTGCCTCAGCCTCCCAACGTGCTGGGATTACAGGCATGAACCACTGCACCTGGCACAATTCTCTATTTTTAAAAAAATCTCATGTTTGGGGCTGGGTGAGGTGGCTCACACTTGTAATTCCAGCACTTTGGAAGGCCAAGGTGGGAGGATCACGAGGTCAAGAAATCGAGATCATCCTGGCCAACATGGTGAAACCCTGTCTCTACTAAAATATAAACAATTAGTCAGTCATGGTGGCACGTGCCTATAGTCCCAACTACTCAGGAGGCTCAGACAGGGCAATTGCTTGAACACCTGGGAGGCTGAGATTGCAGTGAACTGAGAGATCGTGCCACTGCACTCCAGCCTGGTGACAGAGAGAGACTCTGTCTCAAAAAAAAAAAAAAAAAAAAAGTTCAGCAAAATCATACATCCCAAGTTTTATGCAAAAACAGAGTTAAGGGCAGACCACTCAAAACATTAAGAAGTTGTAAGTAGAGCCCTGATGAAAAACAACTGTCCTAATAAATATCCTGACACAGTTTGTTTTCTATTGGTGTTTGCAGCTAACCACACAGCCAGGTCTTTTTTTGCAGCTTTATATCTGGGTACACCTGTTCCTTCCTGAGGCATGAAGGACATTTGCTTACTGGAGAGATAATTTTCACCAAAATTAAAAATACAATCTAGAGGTAGCTTTCTGAAATCATTTTAAACATAAAGAGATGTGACTTTAAAATTTTTCATCTGAACTCTGAATTTCCCTAAATAGCTTAATATAGTGAAAAATGGAGAATTTCTTGAAGCCACTAAAGTCTAATAAAAGAATGCACTTCCATGGGGTTTTCAGTTTCGTGTCTTTTCCTTAGGGTCTTCACAGGTGAGGAAGGCTTTTTGTTTGTGAGAAAGCTCATTCTACTCACTTCAAAACATACTGGAAAAATAGCATATGAGCCACTTTGGTTTCTGTGACATCATGATTCTATTCCCCTATTACCTGGTCAATGAGAGCCAGTTAGGACTAAGAAAACACCAGTGTGGTTAAATGGTAAAGTTTATGTTATGCATAGTTGGCCACATATTTAAAAATTAAGGATCTACAGAAGCTCTGTGTATGTGGGCTATACCTATCAATGTTTACTTTAGTAGTCATTAAAACTGGGATTTTTTAAAAAAGAACACCATTATGAATAGATGATGCTAACATTCGTGTATCCAGCTTCAGAAATAAAACTTTACTGATAACCTTGAATTCCCATGTGTGTCCTTGCCTGAATGCATTCCTTTGTCTCCCAGAAGTAACAACTATCCAGGATTCAGTGTTCATCATTTTCATGTCTATCTTTATGGGTTTTCTAAATTTAGAATATCCCCAGAGACATATAGTTTAAAATTTGTAAGCCAACACAGCCATAGTACAGTATGTGTATTATTTTAGAACTTTTATTGACTTGGTTCAGCCACCCTTACAGGTACCATTGGTCACGCAACCCCCTCCAAAGCAGAGGTGCAATTCTCCTCAGTACTTTATTAGCATGCCTTGATGTCTTGCTTCCAGTCCCTTTAGAAATTATGGTGGGGACACACCCATACACATTAATGGAATAAACACCCTTCTGTCCTCTCCCTTGGGGCTCCCTCCCACAAACAGGTCCATTGTCCACAGTACTCATTTGTGGGACTACAATATGTTCCCAGCCACAACAGAGCATTACATAGAATAGGAGCTAACATGCATGGGAATCAGAATATGTTTAGAATTACATCTTAGCACACTGAAAAATGCATTGGAAGAGCAGCCATTATTGACAGAGACGGTCCTGGCTAATAGATCTGCCTCGTTTTAGGCTGCTTAGGGGAACTGGGGTCCTGGAATAAGAAGCCCCACCCCCTCCTATAAAGAGAGGAAAGCTGGAGACAAAAAGAGGAAGCAAGAGATGAATTGCAAAACACTAATTAGACTCCAACCTCAAGGTAGCATTTCATATAATAAGTTCTAACAGTGTTCTCTTGTTTATATCAGCCTCCTTCTCTTAGCCTGGCTTACTGGGCCGGTGTTTAATTCCAATGCTTCTGAGTTAATTTATGCAACTTCATTATCCTTACCACAGTAGCCTCCGCTAGGGTTCTCTCCTACCTTCAAAGATCTCATCTAAGTTATAAAGCTATTAGATAGAGGAGAGAAATCAGGATGAACTTAACAGCATTCTCATATGGCCCGTGGGTTCTGGAGCCTATGCTTTGGCTGAACTTCAGTTGTGGTTGTTGCTAACACTGGTATATCTACCACTCAGCTTCAGAAATAAAACTTTACTGATATCATCAAATTCCATGTGTGTCCTTTCCTGAATGCTTTGTCACTCAGAGATAACAGCTATCCAAAATTTGGTGCTTATTATCCCCATGTCTGTCTTTATGGGTTTTCTAAATTTGGAATATCCCTGGAGACTACTTTGGCAACTGAAGCTGAACTGTGATGGTTGTTGACCTCTGATCGGCTACTTTTTAATCAAGAACTTATTTTTCCTCTTTCTCTCTCAGCTCCCACAGGCCCACTCTAGTGACTCATGACTTATATACACAGAACAACAGAGAAAAGAAAAACAGAATTAGATAAATGGGCAGGGGCAAGAGTGAGGACTATGTCTTACAAGGAATCATTTTTTTAAGAGTCTTAAATGATTTTATTATAAAAGATAAGCCATTTATTGACACTTTCCTAAAAGAACACAAATGTGAGAATAAAATAAACATATGTAAGACTCACTAGTCCCTGCAGGACAGGAAGCAGCCCTGGACAGAGAGGCTGCAGATGAATTTCCTTATACCTCATGTCTGAACTTTTCACACATTCTAGGATTTCATGTTTTGTTACCTATTACAAAGGAAAGGAAACTGGCTAGCAGATTGAGGTACAAGAAGGTCACAACTTTAAAGCTATCTGATGCTAATGACTTGTACAATCTAGTTTGGAACTCTGAGAGACAATATCAAATAAGCACTGTCAAATACTACCCCCAGTTAACCTTTACTGTCATTGTTCTTTGAAACCGTCTTTGGGATTGGTTATTTTCTCTCACTGTAGCTTTCGTTTGTCCCAAAGCACAAACCCTAAAGTCCACGTGCAGTCTCCATGTTTAAGTAAAGTCTGTTTCAGGACAACCCTGGGTTGCTGTAGTGTCTACTTGGTGTCATGCCCTTGGCAAATGGCAGCACAATGCAGGGGCTGACACGGTCAACTTTCCCGCTTGTGAACTTGCTCCCCTTTCAATCTGTTCACTGCCCATAGTCAAGGTTGAAATCTTTAGACAAGTGACGACCTTGGCCTATCTTCAGTCTGAAGCTGCCCTCTTATGTAACTGAATCCATTTCTTCACCAAAAATTGAGCTTTCAAAAGGTGTCAGAATATTCTTAGGAAGTGTCCTGAGATGGAGCTGGTGGGTTCTGGCCTTCAGGCTCTGGAGGGGGGTGCTGGCACAGCTGCTTTTTTTCCTGGGCGGCCAGGAACTCATGAATTGCTTGTTCTATTTGTGGCCTGAAGATGTGGTTTGGTTTTGGATCCACCACCTGAGAAATAATCCTCTCTACTCCAGCTTCCAACATCCCTGACTGAACCACACTCTATCTCAGACCATTTCGCAATTGGTTTTTGATCACTGTAGGACTCCATTCCTGCTTGTCCAGATGTGTTGACACAAGATTATCCACTTTCTGCCTAAGGTTTTGGTAAGCTGGCTTTGTGTCCAAGTTGGCCAGGCAGTCCCGGTGGAAGTTGTCAAAAAAGGCCAGGGCTCTTGAGCTGCTCCAATGATGAGAGCGATGAGCTGCGGGTCAATGGGAGGCAGCGGGGCCGGGTTGATGGGGCCACTGCCCCCAGTGGCCCCAGCAGTGCCTGTCGCTGTCCTGGCAGAGTCTGGCTCCGCCACTGCTGTCCGCCTTGGCTGCGCCCTGGGCCCACAAGGGGACTGACTATAGCTTCTTCTCCAGAACAGAAGGCCTAGAATGTGCAGAGGTAGCAAAGGGGGCAGTGAAGGAGAAGGGCCCCAAGGAGGCAGAGGTGGAGGTGACGGTGATGGTGGCGGTGGCGGCAATGGCAGGGGCGGTGGTCAAGGAATCATTTTTACCTGAATTATTTTTCTCTCTTCAAATTCTTTTTTCCCCTCAAAAGTGGGGAAATCTCTCAAATAACAAGAGCAAACAAGAAAGTAGCCTAGTCTGCACTGCATTTGCATTTCTTAGTTTCATTCCCTATTCCAAAATGTCTGAGGCAAATGTGTTCTGACAGCAGAAATGAACAGGTACTTAGGTGGGGCGCAGTGGCTCACGCCTATAATCCCAGCACTTTGGGAGGCTGAGGTGGGTGGATCACGAGGTCAAGAGATTGAGACCATCCTGGTCAACATGGTGAAACCCCATCTCTACTAAAAATACAAAAATTAGCTGGGCATGGTGGCACATGCCTGTAGTCCCAGCTACTAGGGAGGCTGAGGCAGGAGAATTGCTTGAACCCAGGAGGCAGAGGTTGCGGTGAGCCGAGATCGCACCACTGTACTCCAGCCTGGCCCTTGAGTGACTGTGGAGCAAGCTGAGATGTTTGCTTTGCTGAAAGACAAAGACAATGCATTCATAAGGTGGTTTGGAATTAGGGCAACAATTTTGTGTGGTCCTGTCATTGTAAGTCACTGTGATGGGACAGTAATCACAAGCCTTGGGGAGAAGCAACCATTCTCTAGTTTTCTATTTTTGCCATGTGGGAAAAGACTTGTGGATTTGGACCAAACTGACATCATGGCAAACAAGTGCCATTTACATCCAAAAAGCTGAAGTCAAAAGGAGAGCAATTCAAGGGAAGAACACTCCACTTTCTCTGATGGGCTCTTAAGTTCCCTGCTCTTTTTTTACTAAACCTTTCCAAGAAAAGTCCCTGTCACCCAAAAATTCTAATTGAAACACCTCTGAAGGACCACTCATGTCTGATGTGTAAGTAACAGCCAGGGAAATGTGGTTGAAGAACTGAACTTTAGGATCTGGACTGCTCAGAGCAACAGCTACTTCACTCAAGGCCTGGAAATTTCCATTTAGAAAATAAATCTGGCTTAAGAAAGGATTTCCTCATGACGCGGAAAAAATGGACAATCAGTCAGCTTGACAAATGAGACTTCCTTATGACAACTGGTAAAGAAAAGTTTTAGGAAACACAAGGGAAGCTTGAAACAGTGAAATTTAACTGAGTGCCAAAGCTTCCTTGCAGACAGAGGAGCTCTAGGTTTCCCCATTTATGATCAGACAGTAACCCCTTCCTATGCAGGAGACTTGGCAGCAGTGACAGCAAAAGACTTATTTGCAAAGGGACTTTTCTTCACCTTTTATTTTCCTCCCTATACCCTTAGTCACTTATTTGGACAACATGTCCTGGAGATAAACAGCAGTATACTCTAAATTTCAAAAGCCTCAACAAAAAATGACTTGTCTAAGATAACTGTATATACCACACAAAGTAGATCATCTTTCCATCCCCTCCTCCACTGATTTCTTCCAAAACAGACATCTGAAAAGCCAGGAAACCAAGAAAGGAACAAATAAATACAAACCACTAGTAAAACCAGCTCCCTTAATAAAAAATAGCTTCCAATCTCCAGCTCTCTGATTTGGATTTGATAAACACCTTAAATATGTTTGGCTATAACTTTGGATTATTCTGCCTTTGATGTTAATTTATTTTAGATCGTAAATCTGTAGTCCAGTGTCTTGTGCTTGCTCAGGGGGCAGTTTGAGGGATGCTGCAGCATGAACTCTGAAGTCAGGCAGAGCTAGGCTACAATCAGACTCTCTGTGCACCAGCTGTCTAAATTGGTAAACTGGGGAAGTCACTTAGCATTTCTAATTTTCATCTGTAAAATGGGGATAATAGTAGCCTCAGATTTGCTATAAGAATCTAATCATCTTATATATGTAAATGAGAAAATAATCTAGAATAATCCCATACCTGTCCCTATCTACTCCCCTTTCTCCAGATAATCAATTTTATTTCTTTCTTATCACTCCAGAGATTCTTTAGGCAAATGTAAGTAAATTAAATACATATCCTTCTTTTGCCTTCTTGCTTACATAAAAGGAGGATACAACTACTCTGTGCCTTGTTTTTTTTTCTCTTAATCTATCTGGGAAATCTTTTCCATATCAGTACAAGGAGAACGTCCCCATTCTTTTTTTTTTTTTTTTTTTTTTTTTTTTAACAGCAGTATGAGATTCCATTGTGTGGCTGTAACACAGTTTATTATATTTAACCATCTTTTATTGGAAGACATTTGGATTATTTCCAAACATTTCCTATAACAAATAAAGCTGCAGTGAATATTCTTGTACATAGTGTCATTTTGTATGCATGTGAGTATATCTAAAGGGTTTATACATTTGAAGTTTTTTAAAACAACTTTATTACATAAAATTTATTACAGCTGTAATTTGATGGTTTTTGCCAAATTGCCCTCCAAAGGAGTTGTACCATTTTGTACTACCCAGCAATGTATGAAGGTGTACAGTAAACTATTAGAAGTGGGGTAGGGTAGGTGTGCTCAAAGAGAATTTCAAGTTTCTTTAAAAATATAACATGTGGCTGGGCACGGTGCTTACACCTGTAATCCTAGCACTTTTGGAGGCTGAGGTGGGTGGATCACCTAAGGTCAGGAGTTCGAGACCAGCCTGGCTAACATGGTGAAACCCTATCTCTACTAAAAGTACAAAAATCAGCTGGGCGTGGTGGTTCGCACCTGTAGTCCCAGATTCTCAAGAAGCTGAGGCAAGAGAATTGCTTGAACCTGGGAGGTAGAGGTTCCAGTGAGCCGAGATCATACCACTGCACTCCAGCATGGGTGACAGAGTGAGACTCTGCCTCAAAAAAAAAAAAAAAAAAAAAAAAAAGACATGTTAAAAAATTTGCATATAGGCCTATATTCTTATGGTAAAATATGGTTAAGAATTTAAAGTGCCCTTTGGCCCACACTCTTCTTCCCTCCAAGCAATTCCAATCTTTCCCATACTGTGAATTGTTTGGCATGTCAATTAACAATTGTCAAATCCAATGGCCATTTCTTAGTTTCTGTCCTCCTTGAGATATCTAAAGATCTATTCCCAAGATTCTTCCTTTGGTGTTCATGACACAAATATTCTTTTGATTTGCTCATAATTCTCTGATCCTTTAGCATATTCTCTGGCTTATCTTTCTTCTCTTGCCTTAAAAAACAGGCCTAATAAATAAGGCAATATTTGCTGAATGCCAATGGCGCACAAGAATAACAGAACCCCAACCACAGGGAGTTTGAGGTCTTAGGGGTGAGGCAGATTGCAAAGGTGGTTGAGACCATTCCTCCTGTCTCTGTAAGTGTATTAGTTTGCTAAGGCTGCTGTGATAAAATACCACAAACTGAATGACTTAAACAACAGAAACCAATTTTCTCACAATCCTGGGGTTAGAAGTCCAAGATCAAGGTGTTAGAAGGGGCTGGTTTCTTCTGAAGCCTCTTTTCTGAGGGTTAGAGATGGCCATCCTCTCCTTTGTCTTCACACTGTCTTCCCTATGTACCTGTCAGCAACTCAATCTCCTCTTCTTATAAAGACACTAATCATATTGGATTAGGGCCCACTCTAACAAGCTCATTTTTAACCTAATTACCTCTTCAAAGACCCTATCTCCAAATATGGTCACATCTGGAGGCACTGAAAGTTAGGACTTCAGCGTATGTGCTGCAGGGAACAATTCAGCCTATGCATAAGCATGCCCTTTACAGGATGATTTTGCTGTCCTTCCCATTAAGGGGTTGAATCTTTCTTCACTTCCTAAGCTAGGCTGGCCTTGTGACTTGATTTGACCAACAGAATACAGCAGAAGTGATGTTGAACAACTTCCAAGTCTAGGCTTGCAGTTTTTACTTACATTTTCTTGGAACACTGCCCTGAGACCACCGTGTAAGGATGGATATTGCTATATCCTCCTGGAGGATATGTGGGCATGGAGGAGGAGAACTAATGCATCCCAGCCATCAATCAGCACTGACTGCCAGTCATTTGAGTGAGGTCACCTTGGACCATCCAGCTGTTCTTGCCATTATCCGTCTGCAATTGCATGAGTAAGCCCAGGTAAGATAAGCTGAAGAAGTGCCATCCAGCCCACAAAAATAATGAGAAAGAATAAACGGTAGGCCAGATGCAGTGGCTTGCGCCTGAAATTCCAGCAATTTGGCAGGTCAAGGCAGGTGAATCATGGGGTCAGCAGTTTGAGACCAGCCTGGCCAATATGGTGAAACTCATCTCTACTAAAAATACAAAAAATTAGCTGAGTGTAGTGGCGGGCGTCTGTAATCCCAGCTACTCGGGAGGCTGAGACAGGAGAATCTCTTGAACCCAGGAGGCAGAGGTTGCAGTGAGACAAGATAGTGCCACTGAACTCCAGTCTGGTGACAGAGTGAGACTCAGTCTCAACAACAACAACAACAAAGAATACACGGTAGTTGTTTTAAGCCACTAAAACGTGATTATTGTTGAAAGTCACTATTTTTACACATAACAGTCATTGATATTGGAGGAGACAGAGAAATTAAATAACTATCAACACATTAAGTTTCATAAAAGGAAACATACATGTTGAGGCAAACAGTGGGAGTCAAACTCATGTGAGAAGGGAAGAAGAAGGTCTGGGAAAGGGATGTTTATGTTGAGATGTTTATGATGAGTAGGAGTAGTGAGGCAAACTTGGGAGAGTAGAGGGTAGGAAGAGAAGGTATAGGTCAGATTCTATTCAAATACCCACCGTCTCCTCTGCCCTGTCCTCCATGAGAAGAATATGTTTTCTTGCCCCATTTATACTGGGCTTGGCCATGTGGTTTTCTTGAACCAGTGGCTCATGGTTAGAAATGATGTACAGTTCTGTTCCTAGGCTGTAAGAGGAAACGTGTGGTTCGACTGGTCTCCGGGAGCTTCCAGTCATTCAAGGCCTTGAAGACCATGTTAAAAATGATGGGCTGGGTGCAGTGACTCACACCTGTAATCCTAGCACTTTGGGAGGCCAAAGAGAATGGATCATCTGAGGTCAGGCATTCCAGACCAGCCTGGCCAACATGGTGAAACCCTATCTCTACTAAAAATACAAAAATTAGCTGGATATGGTGGCTGGCGCCTGTAATCCCAGCTACTTGGGAGGCCGAGGCAGGAGAATAGCTTGAAACCAGGAGGCAGAGGTTGCTGTGAGCAAAGATCGCACCAACAGTGAAACTCCATCCCCCAAAAAAGATGGGACTTTGGTGGCTCATGCCAGTAATTCCAGCACTTTGGGAAGCCAAGGTGGGATGATTGCTTGAGGTTAGGAGTTCAAGAGCAGCATGGACAACACAGTGAGACCCTGTCTCTACAAAAATTAACAAATTAGCCAGCCATGGTAGCATGTATCTGTAGTCCTAGCTAATGGGGAGGCCAAGGCAGGAGGATCGCTTGAGCCCAGGAATTTGAAGTTACAGTGAGCTATGATCACACCACTGCACTCCTGCCTGAGTGGAGACCCTATCTCAAAAAAAACCAAACCAAACCAAACAAGACAAGACAAAAAAACA